CTAGAAATACCTAGAGAAGAGCAAGAGAGGCAGCTTTGTTTCTCTGCTTTTCTGGAAACTCTGAAACCGTCTCACCTTGCAGCAGGCAAAGGAGATTATGCCCCTGGCTTATCTGTTTTGCTTTCTCATTTGCTAAAGCTGGGATACCCCATGGAATAGATAGGGATGACCACTGGATTTGAGGTGAAAGAACCTGGGGTTGAGTCCCAGCTCCATTGCTTAAAGAACCCAAGCCTCAGTTTCCCCATCTGCAAAATGAGGGGACACCTGCCTTGCAAGGTTGCCACGAGGATCAGCACGGTGTGGGGCACACCAGGGTGGTGGTATTGGAACCTCCCCTGTGCTGGATCCTGAGGGCAGGGGGCTTAGGACAAGGAGGTTCTTGCCTGAGCACAGGGGCCTAGGCCGCTCCCTCTTACTTTGTGGCAGGAGGGTTTCTTCAAGGAGATGGCACTGCGACAAACAAGGGCTTTCTCTCTCCCTCAGGCACAAGGTCCAGGCTCCAAAGGAATTTCTCACCACAGACAGAAAGGGGAAAGGCCAAGAAAGAGGTGGCTGGCTCAGGAGCAAGGTAGCAGCCCTATGGACAGGGGTAGCTGTCCACAGGGCCACGGCAGCCACTGGCTGCAGCAGGAGGAGGCAGGGATACAGGGATGGACTCAGACCTGCCTCCAACCCCTGCCTTGCTCACAGGGTCACCTGGCCACGCAGCCTCAGTTGGAACATCCCTAGAAAGCATCATGGGGAAGGTCCCCACGGAGGAAGAAAGGAAAGGGGATGAAGGTGCTTTCCATAAATACCTGGGAGGGAGGGGGTAAGATCAGAATTATCACCACCCCATTAATTCATTCAATGCGCAAAACTTGGATCCCTCTCTGTATTGCTAGGCTCCAGCCATGCAAACAAATCCTACACATCCTCACCTTCCTAGGACAGCACTTGAGAGTGTGTAGAGGCTTCCACCTGGCTGAGGGACAAGGACCAGCAGGGGCAAGGCGGAGGGTGTGAGGTGGAAGGCAGCTTCCTGGGATAACGGACAGTCAGGGAGCAGTAAAGGAGGTGGGAAAGGCAGGTGGGGATCAGCTTGGAAAGGCAAGTTCAGGTGTGTGGATTTTATTGGAAGCCAGGGAGAAGTTTTAAGCAGGGATTGCATTCTAGAAAGATCAGTTGGGGGGTGTCCATAGGGTGAAATGGAACCTGGAGACCAATACAGGGAGTACCAAGACATAGAAGTGCATTCAAGGGATGATGTGGGCCTGACAGACATATGAGATGGGAAATAAAATTTGAGTGAAGAACTCCAGCATCATGGTCGCCAGGGGAGTCTGGGCCAGTGGGTAGAAATCAGGCTTAAAGGCCCCTGGGTTAGGTGGGCCATTCTCCCTGGAGACCAGCACCCACCCACTCGACACCGCCTCATCTTCTCGGGGTCCCCAGCATACCAGGTGGCTGGCCTTTCTCCCACTGAGACATGAGCAGAGGGGGCAGGAGAGGCCTTGCCCACAGAAATCTTGAGATAAAGATTATCCAGGTGGGCCCAATGGAATCACAAGTGTCTTTAAAAGTGGAAGAGGGAGGTAGGATGGAGGCTGGCATGAGGGATTCAACCCATTGTTGCTGGTGTTGAAGATGAAGAGGCCATGGGTGGCCTCTAGAAGCAGGCGAAGGCGAGGAAATGGATTCTCCCTCAGAGCCTCCAGAAAGGAATGCAGCCCTGCCAACACCTTGACTTCTAGCCCAGTGAGACCCAGGTCAGACTTCCAGCCTACAGAACTGTGAGATTATAAGTGTTCGCTGTTTTAAGCCACTTATTCGTGGTAGTTTATTATGGCAGCGAGCTGGAACAAAAGCAGGTTGTAAAGCCGGCTGCAACTTTAGAGAGACCTTCTCTAGCCGCCTGACCTAGGGTCACCTTCGCATCACCTTCTAGTCACTGCATTTTGCCATTTTATGTCATCCACTGTTGTTCATTTTTTGAAATGCCTGTGTTGACCCGATTGCCAGCCTTCCCGCATTCAATGGTAAGCTCCAAGAGAGCAGGCACGCAGGTTATCCATCCATCACTGCATCCCCAGCACACACAAGTGCCTACAAAGCAGTGGCAGTTCCACAAATACTTGGCCGGAAGATGAGTGGCTGGCTGAGTGAATACAGGTGGTGCACCAATGGCATGAAATCTACCAAGGCAGATGGCTCAGGGTTCATAGTTCATACTTCCAGCCTCTGAAGGCACAATAAAAAGTGTGAACGCTCTCCTTGACCTCCTCCAGGATCTTCAATCAGTTCAGGTGACACCTCTCTGAAGCCTCTTACAAACCCTTCAGAGGTCTCAAGCCAACACTGCTGCAGCCCTCCCAGGAAAATACTGGGTTGGCCAAAAAGTTCGTTCGGGTTTTCCATAGGCTCGTATGGAAAAACCTGAATGAACTTTTTGGCCAGCCCAATATATGTGGAGAGCAAAATATTATAAATTGCCTCTGCGGGATATATGTATATGTATAACTGATTCACTTTGCTGTACACCTGAAACTAACACAACATTGTAAATCAACTATACTCCAATAAAAATTCAAAAAACTAAATAAATAAATTGCCTCTGCGGGATATATGTATATGTATAACTGATTCACTTTGCTGTACACCTGAAACTAACACAACATTGTAAATCAACTATACTCCAATAAAAATTCAAAAAACTAAATAAATAAATTGCCTCTGCCCAACAGAACCGAAGGGGCATATATGAGGAGATGGTTTACAAGTAAATACGGTAAGTGCCCCCTCCAGGTCAAACACTCAGGAAAGAGACCAAGCTGGCTTCAGAAGAGGCCTTGCCTTCTCCGACTTTGTTCGGTGTTTTCCAAGCTCCCTTGCAGACAGGCTGTTCCTCCAGGAAATGACTTGCCAATCCAGACAAGGATGGCAAGCCAAGCCCAGGGGAGACTGGCTGAGGTCAGGCTGCTGCCTAACCCTGGGGTGGGGGCAACAGGAAACGGAACATGGCGCCAGGGAAGGCAGGCTCCTCACACAGGGAGTGTGAGGACAGGAGGCAGAAAAGATCTAACGGACGCTCTGCGCTTGCAAATTCAATCAAGACACACAGCCTGGGAACAGGGCAGCATGTACAAAATGATGTTTATTGAATCCATTTTGGAAACGGACAGCATGAAAGGTTTTTGGTTTCGAGCCCACTCGGAGTTTAAGAGTCATGATCATTTCCTGTCATTAAACCTCAGCCACCGGAAGATTCCTAGCTTCAATAACGAAAATGAATCTTCATCTTGTGAAGGGGAGAAAAAGTGGTTAAAAACACTACAGTTGGACTTCCCTGGTGGCGCAGTGGTTAAGAATCCGCCTGCCAATGCAGGGGACACGGGTTCAAGCCCTGGTCCGGGAAGATCCCACATGCCACGCAGCAACTAAGCCCGTGTGCCACAGCTACTGAGCCCGCGTGCCACAACTATTGAAACTGGCGCACCTAGAGCCCGTGCTCCACAACAAGAGAAGCTACCGCAATGAGAAGTCCGCACACCACAACGAAGAGTAGCCCCCGCTCGCCACAACTAGAGAAAGCCCGCGCGCAGCAACAAAGACCCAACACAGCCAAAATAATAATAAAATTTAAAAAAACAAACATAAAACAACACTACAGTTGTCGCTCTTGCAATAGCTCTGATGGCTAGAATGCTCATAGAGATCAGCACAATTTTTATATGTACAGTGTGAAATACTGTACAAATATCAGGGGTGTACATCAAAGGTAAAGTTGTAAACTGGCTAACATTCATTAGCAATTAAGTACACTGGGTCTGTACTGACACTCCCATTCTCAACCTAAGAGCTTACATATTTAACTGATGACTGATCTCCCCATCAGGGGCATTTAGTGTGTAGAAAAAGCATTTAAAGACATATATATCATTCAGGTTGTAAACTAAAAAAGCAAACCCAAGCATGATTAATTACTTGGCCTGGATCAATAAATACTAGTCCCAAGTGCTAAGTGTACCAATAAGGACAGAAGCCATCAGTTAAATAAATCATCATGTTGTTACCTACTGATACCTGTTAGTGAATTTGTGGACTTTATCCAACGCATACACAGATTATGTTTTGTTTGAAATTCTCAGAAGATCTTCTTTGGACATTTCTCTTCCATCAGTCTCTTAAAAGGATGAAAATGAAACAACTTTTAAAACAAAATTTCCAAATCAAAAGCCATCAAAAGCATGACTCTAGTCATATTTCAAATCTTCACCCAGAAGGGAAATGCTGTCAAAGCTTAGATGAGCTTAGAAGGTTTCCTCCTCTGTTGGCAGCTTAAACTGTCCTCATTCTCTCCCAGCCACCTCCTGCCATATTGGAAGCCAAACTGGCTCATGTCTCTGACATTTCATAAACAAAGTTTCCAAAGATTAACAGGATACCTAGAAGGTGCCAGAAGGGCCCAGGGGCCTTCTCTTTTTTCTGGAGCTGTTATCAGCGGGGCCAACAGGCAAATACAAAAAGAACAGGGAGGTCAACGGAGATAAAAAGCCCAGACCTGGATGGAGGGAGGAGTGCTGAGGATATATATAGCACAGTACCAAAGCCCGCTGCCCCAAAAAACACTTCAAGGCCCCACAGGTTATACATTCCAGGCACTTCTTTAATCACAGGGAATGGACATCTCTCCAAAAGGTCCTGCCCACATCCTTCCCGGCTCCCTGCACTGTAGAGCGCTGAGACATCCCATTTGCTAGAACTCTCTTCTCATGAGGCAAGCTGAGTCTCTCTATCTCAATGCAGCTTTTCCTATAAACCACAACACTCACAAACACAGGCCACACTGGATTCAAGTCCAGCTGCTTCCAGAGCTCTGTGGCCTCTGAGCCCTGCCCACCACGGATCACTTTCACCCTGGACCACTTCCAGTCTCCTTTCCTAGGAGGTTTGCTATTTTTCAGTTTGAAGACACACCCCATTGGAAATGAGCGGTGCAAGATCCTACGTGCAAATACTTGCAAGCAATTTATTTTTGAAACGATGCACATTTAAAAAATTCAAGTGAAATCCAGGAACAGACTGGTTGGTTGGTATCAGCTGGCCCCTTCCGCACAATAGGAAAAGGGTCGGTTTCTGAAATGAGAAAGGGAGGGAGGCACCAGCTACTCCACCGGGTAGGTTAGTTCCTTGAGTCGGGGAGGAAGCCTGAGAGGGGAATGCTGAGGCTTAATCAAAGACGGGGTTCCTCCAGCACTGTGGCCCTCCCGGGCCAAAAGCCAAAGGCAGCACATAGGGTCTGGATATAGGTGAGGATGGACCCTCACCCACCAGTGGGGCCACTCTTTCCCAGTAATTCTGAAACTGAAATGAAAGCTGCATTCCCAGAGTCAGGCTTGGGAGGGGCTGCAGTCTACTTTTACTCCATGCAAGACAGAGAGAAGAGGTACCTCTCTATTGCCTCTTTTCACCCATCGGCCTCTGTATCACAAGGACCCTCAAGGGGAACTCCACACGCCAACACATCCTTGCTGGCTGTGTGTGTGGGTCGGACGACTTCCTGCTATAGGAACGCCAGGGGCACTGCGATATAGGGCTGGGAGGATCAGAGAGTCCAATATCTGAGGGGAAAAGCCCAGAGAGGAGGATTTGAGTTGAGTCAGGCAGGCAAGGCTGAAAGTCAGAAGGTGAACATTAGGCAGTTGGATCTGTGTGGCCGCCAAGAGGTAGGTGGTCACAGTCACGAAAATGGAAAGGCTCACGATGGGGATTTTCCCTAGGGCACTCACACTAGCCTGTACCTGGAAAGGCATAAGGCGGCATTGCCCAAAGGAAGAGCTCCCCTCGGCGGTCCTCGGGGATGAAGCCACCCTCATCCTGGTGGCCAGGCAGGAGCTGGGAGGTCCCAGAGGAGGGCATTCAGCTGAGGGATGCACAGTTCAGCTCTGAGTCCTCCTGGCTGCCCGCTGCCACCTGCTCCGGCTCATCGGGGCCATCAGTGATGTTGGGCTCACTGGAGCACTGCCGGTGGGGCGGCGGGAAGCTGGGTGGCAGAAGCAGGCACTTGTCCTCGCCACCAGGCTCCTCCCCTAAGCCCGAGTGCATCCTGGTGGCCATGGCCAGCAGCTGGATGTCCGAGTGGGCATTGGCCACCGTGTGTCGCCGGACACTGCCACACTTCTCTAGGTAGGCCTCGCCCTCTTGCTCCGTCAGAGGGGTCAGGGCCATCTCGTTCAGGGGCCGGCTGACGGCGGTCATCGGGGAGGCGTAGTTCAAGAGCGTGACCTTGGGCCGGGCCCTGGAGTGGCGCCTGGCTGCAAGAGAAAGACCAGCGAAGGTTGTGATTGCAGAGGGGATAGTAGAAGTCAAAAACTCCTAATGAATTTGGGGGACGAGAGAGGTGGTGGCTCCACCTTCAGAGAGAGCTTTAGATGAAGCTCTGAGACGTAAGGGAAGAACTTGGCTACGTCTAAAGGCTTCTGTTGTAACTTTACTTGTTTATGCCTGATACTTTCCCCCACAGTAGGGATCACCAAAGGACTTTCCATGATTGATTAGGTCCAAGGGAGTCTCCCCCGGCTTTCCCCGCTGCTGCCTGAGCTTCATTGGATTTGCCCTCAATTCCCTTTCAACCAGTCTCCTCTGAAGACCCGAGCACTGGCTGGACCAGCTGCCAAAAGAAGCCCTCGGCTCTATTCAGCATGATGTGCTCTCTGCAGTGTCAACAGAGGAAGTGGAAAAGGCCTCATAAGCTTAAGTCTGGAGGAACAGGTTACTGGGGGGAGCTCGGCTATCAAAGCGAGGGCAGTGGGACGTCCTCCAGACTGTCCTGAAGCAGGACTATCAGTGCTCCCAGCAGGTCAGTGGTCTGAGACCCGTGTTCTGCTCAAGTCAATACTCTGGATTCAACCAGCCTTTCACAGCACCAAAGAATGGATGACGCTCCGTGGCTGGCCCCATTGAGGAAGACAGAGAGAGGGCTGGACAGGAATTATTATAAAACTGCTGCCTCTTGCATTCTCACCACATTCTAGAAGATATGCTCAACCTCGACATGCTTTTGTCTTTTGAACCCTCCTTAAACTGAACCTAAGTTATGATCGTTTTCTCATCTGTAAAGCGGGAGACAATATGAATATCAGAGACGTAGTAACCAGCCTACGCTCACACGGAGAGAATGTAGTAAAGGTGGGATGCAAACAAGGTCTGTCTCACTCCAGACCTCACTCTGGCAAGCTGCCCCCACAAAGTACACATAGTCATAGGAGACTGAGCACCTCGTGGGAAGGACAAGCCAAGTACGTGGGGTTCAAATCCAGGGAGAAGAATCCAAAGGAGGAAGCACGCGTACCAGCAACACCCAGTTCTGAGGGCCTCTCATCTCCCGCCTTCAGAAAGACCAGGCCGGTCCAGAGACCTACAGCGTGGCCGGAGTAGGGACCAGGGTAAGCCTGCATCCCCAAGGTCCCAGGGATGCCTCCTCTGCAGGCAGTCCTCTTCTGCTGCTCAGGCACTGCGTCTGCATCACGAACTGGATGAAAGACCCCAGCGAGGCAGAGGAGGTGAGGGTGGAGGGCTGAGGGGCGGTGGGTTCTGGTCAAAGCCTTTTCTCCTTTTCTTTGGCCCTCTTCCTGCCAGTGCACACGTCTCCCAGCCTTCCAACCGTGCACCCCATTGCACGTGTCACTGCTTTCCCCAGCTCCCTCATCCCTGAGACCCCAAAGACCCCTAACACGTCCCTCTCTCGGCAGGGGATGCCGTGGGGAGAAATGAAGAAGTGTTGACTGCGCGGTACTCCCAGCACCCCTGACAGGATCACAGAGTGGGCGGGGGGAAACGAGTCCCTAAAGGGAGAGCAGACAGTGCTCGCTGGTCACACACTGGCCTTGGGGACACTCGGCCCACACCGCTCTAGTTTAGTGTCAGCTCTTCCCATGGATCTGGAGGCCCGGATACATGCTCTCAGCACGTGCTCCTAGATGGGCATTGCAGTGAGGCTGCCATGTCCATCTGCAAAGCTCTCAGCAGTTCCCAGCACTGGACGATTTTCCATGTCCATATATGCACATATGTATTTACGTATATGTGCATATGTATATACATACGTCTGTCTATATGTATGCATACACACACACACACACACACACACACACACACACACACACACACACACATATATATACATATACACACACACATAGGTATAAACAATGACAAGAGAATGAAATCCTAACCCTTAGGACTAAGTTCACCAAGACTACTGCCTTAGAGCCCCAAGGGAGCTGTTTGGTGCTAATAGCAATAACTGACATTTCTCAAAACCAAATAATAATACATAGAATTTAGAGCTTACTGAGAGTGTTCCCATCTGCCATCTCACTGTTGAATCCCAATCTCCCTCTGAAACACTAGGACGGCTCTCATCATCCCCATTGCTCAGATGAGGAAGACTGAGACTTGGCCCAACACTCTGAGGCTCTAAATGGCAGTGCCCAGACGTTCCCCACTACACACTACTGCCTCTCAGGGCTCCGCCGCTGCGCTTGAGCCGGCCCACTCTCTGAAGTCAGGTAACAGCAAACACGGCCTCCAGTAGTGCCAGACAGAGGCTGCGTCATCAGCCCCTTCACTGGGGAAGAATGAATAGCAGACAGAATGCCAAGGAGCCACCAGGACAGAAGAATCGATGCCAGACGTCGGCAGAGGTCCTCTCTGAAGCATGGGTGCTTGTACGTGCCAAGCCGCACATTTCTACAATGTTCCCACATTTTTACAATAACCATGTATTACTTTTATGATCACAGAAATCGGTAACTATAAAGCAGAAGCACCGGAAGAGTTCAAAGAAGCAGAGACCTCATTAAAGAACCATCCATTAAAAAATGCCCTTGAAAACAATTCATTTCTCTGCTGCCGCTGTTAAAAGCAAGCACACTCTAGGTTGGCAGTGGCAAAACCCAGGTTGTGGCCCTACAACCAGCCTGGCAGGAGACTGGGCTGGGCTGTTCGGTGAGCATTTACTACATGCAGATCCAGGAAGAGGAAAGAGGTAGGACAAAGCCCAGGCCCAGGACGTGGGATGAGGTGAGGGCCTGGGGGACAGATGTGCATGGTGGACACACACAGAAGCTCTGGGGGAAAGAATTCGTTTGATGATTTCCATAGCAGAAGGAGCTAGCGAGGTGTCTCAGATGGGCCTTGGGCATTGTCCACCTCTCACACCGTTAGTTCAGCACCGCAAAGGCCCTGGAGGGTTCAACAGGCAGCAAACTGACAAGACAGGCCACTTGGGCTGCTGTGGAGAGATGGAGCCAGAGGGAGGGCGGCCAGCCTGGAGGAGGGGGTCCCCATGACATCCGCCCCCTCTTTCAGCAAACACATCTTGAACTTTGTGCAAGATGCTGTGCGCACTGCTGAGAGTAAGAGGAATGTAAATCTGATATGGGGCCTGCACAGGGGCTGGAGCGCGGCGGGTGCGTGCGTTGGAGAGGGGTAGAGTCTCAGGCGCAATCGTTAACTGAGCCTCTACTCTGCACTGTATCAGAAAAGGAGAAGCTTCACTGAAATGATCTCCTGCTAACTATTTTGCAGAAAAGGAACCTGAGGTTGAGATGCTAAATCATTTTACAGTCACGATTAGTGATGAAGCCGGGATTCAAACCCAAGGCTGACAGCACAGCCCTTGCTCCTGACCTCTGGGAGGCCTGCACACAAATCAGTGTCAAATGGCAGGGCAGGGCTACAGGCAGAGCACTCTGGGGATTCAGAGGAGGAGTCATGAAGAGGGGTCGTTCTAGATGGGCCTGCTCCTTTGAGAGGGATGGACAGACTGCACCCCAGCTGGCGGTTCATTTATCCCCTCCCTCGGAGGAGAGATCTATGCCAGGCCTGGGATACAGGTGAGCCACATGCAACGAGCTCCCGGGCTAAGGCGGAGACCAACAAATAATCAGGCCATGACTACACACCATGGCAAGGGCCAGAATGTGGTTTGGGGTCCAGAGAAGGGAAGGGGAGGCACACACAACTCCTCACCTGGGGTGATTCCACAGGCCCCAGGCCATTCTATCTGGGGCCCATAATACAGCAGGTGGCAGCTCTGCCTGGGCCCTGCCCTGGGACAGGGCGTCTTCTTCCTCCTCTGTGCTCGGCCCTCTGCAGCTCAGAGACGTTAAGTAACTTACTCCAGGGCACACAGCTGAAGCCCAGCCCTTGTGGTTTCCAGGGCCCCGCTCCTTCTGCGGCTGGCCTCACCTCTCTCCTTAGGGCTGTTGCCTGACGCTGACTGAGAGGCCTCCAGCTCTTCCTCCTGCTTTCTGGGTGGAATGTTTTGGCTCCCAAGACTGGGTGTGGGCACAGCCGAGACCACAGGGGCCGCTGGGCTGTGTGAGTCCCCTGGGCAGGCAGTGTGTCCTTACGAAGCTCCCACCGGATTCCAGAGCCAACCCCAGGACAAGTATACGCCAAGCTGTGTCCCCGGTGAGGTCAGACCCCGCTAGGGCCCCTTAGGAGGCCTTAAAACTGAAGCGTAGGCCTGGAGCTGACAGCGGCCTCCCCACGCCGTGGCTGCTTGCTCTCTTTTCCCTCTTTTTCTTATTTGCATCAGGGAAAGCTGGGCCCTGCCACTCAGAGAAGGAAATTTCCATTAAGGGACTGACTAAGCTGTGGATCTCCCCTGGGGCCTAAAAACTGGTCCCTCCCCTGCAAGGGGGCCCTTGGAGCAGGGAGAGGGGCTGGGCCCTGCCACCTCCCGTACCCACTTCCAGGCCTCCTCCCGCCTGTCACATGGGGTATGGCGAGGGGAGCCTTTGTTCCCCCCTCACTCCCCAGGCGCCCCGCTGAGCCCTGGCATTCATCCCTCTGCTCGGGAGCCAGACATGGCAGCTCCTTTCAACTCCCCAGAGAGAAGCAAAGCCTGGAGGAGGCGGTCCTTTCTTGGGGACTCAGTCCCCAGGCCTTTGATCCCCCAGGCCCCCATAAGGCAGGCATTGTGATCCCTGCCCACCACGTCCACGGCGGGCGTCCCTCTCCAGGCTCCGGCCCCTGAAAGCCCGTGAATGCCTACTGGGCACAGGGACGAGTTACAGTATGTTGAGGAAAAGGGCCCTCCCCCTGAGGGAGGACACAATGGGGACACATGGGTGGGAGGCCAGGCTTCCACGTGGGAGACACCGCGCACTGCCCAGCCCAGGGCAGCAGCCTGCAAACTTGGGAAACCAGAAAGGTAGAAACACGGGCCTGGCCTCTAACAGATCAGCCTGGTTTTTTTTGTTTTCTTGGGTTTTTTTAAGATTTCATTATCTTCCTCCTCTTCCCCACACTCCGTCTGCCTGAGAAAAGTGACAGCTTTGGCAGGGAGGACACACACACACACACACACACACACACTCACTCCATCACGGCCTTGGACTCATCTTTTCTCTCTGAAGCGAGCCTTGCACATCTGCAGGGTGAGGCTTAACTCTCACACCCATCGGCCTGGCCAGTAGGAAGAGGGCCTGCCCTCGAGTCCCCAGATCAACCAGTGTGGGCACGTGGGTGCAGTGGGGAGCCCCCTGGAAAACCACTGCTCTGGCTCTGATCACCTACCCCATGTGACCCGGGGGACGTTTCTTACCAACGCTGTCTGAGGTCACCACAGCAGGCACCCTCGCAGCGGTCGTGACGATGATTACATGCCAAGCCCTTGCTCAGGGCCTGGAAGGTGACGAGCATTTGATAAGGGGTGGCCTTGGAGATGACGGTCCCAGCTGCCCTTGACCCCTCCCACCAAGTCAGGCCCAGAGTGGCCGTGGCAAAGCCCTCCCGAGGGTCCAGGGATCTCTCACGTCCACTCCATCTCCTCAGTCTTTACCTCGGCCGGCCGTCGTAACAGGCAGCTGCCTTTTCCACAGGCAGGAGAAATGTCATTGCCTCCAACTGACTGGGGAAGACTGAGGTCCAGAGACTCCTCTCTTTATCTAGAAAGCGGTGTCCTCGATAAGGAAGGGCACCTTCGTGGTCGTGTTAGCTTTTTGGTATCCAGGGGTTTGGGATGACATGTCGGCCTCGGACACCTCTTGGGCTAAGGAGTGTGTGGACAAAGAATGTTGGCTGCCGTGTCAGTAAACAAAGGGGTTGTGGCCATCAAGCCCTCAGCCACAGAAGCTGCCCCCTGAGGGGATTCAGGATGGAGAAAAGCAGGATACTGGCCCTAGAGAGTTAAGGTGGGTATCAAAGGAATTATTTCAATGAGCCCAGACTCTTGCATCTTCCCATATGCAGAAAAGCGCAAAATTCACTGACTTGAGATGTCTGTTTTTCTTTTACAGTATTCTTTCAATGTTCCGACTACCTGGTCTTTGTTGCAAAAACTTCTGCATATCCTGGCTCCTCCCTTACCTCATTGGAACAGTCCCTCAGAGCTCTCTGAGAGGCTGTCTTCTGCACTTAAGTCCTCAGTGTGTCCGTCGAATAAAACATAATTCTCAACTTTCAGGTTGTATATTTTTTTCAGTCGACAACTGAGAGGGAAGGACCAGCTCCTCCGCTGTCCCTCAGTGAAATCAGTCACCTCCTAGGAGTTGACGGGGTGGGTGGGGTGCGGGTGGAGTGTGGGGAAAAGCTGGTAAAGGGCAAACAGCTCGGGGCTTTGGAAGCCTGTCTCCAATAGCCAAGCGACCTTGACCTTCATTCGCCTCCCCTGTGCGTGGGAAGGTGGTATCCAGCCCACCCGCACAGTGCCCAGGATGTGGTCTGTGTCCCGGGGCTTCCCCTGCCATCAGCCACGCTAAAACTCTAAGGCCCTCTCAGTTCCTCCAATGCTTCACCCTCCTGCTCCCTGCCCTCCTCCCCACAACTCCAAAACCCTCCCAAAGATCCTTCCCTTTGCCCGGGACAGTCTTCCTTTCCCGTTTACTCAGCTAACTTATATTCATCCTCCAGGTCCCACTGCAGATACCACTTCCTCCAGGGAGTCCTCCCTGATTTCCCAGTCCCGGTGAAGTCCTCCTGCTGTGGGCCCTGGACTTCCCCACTCAGAGCACTCGTACACTGATGAGTCATCGTCTATTGCTTTGTGACTTCCTCACCAGACCCTGCGTCCCAGAGGGCAGGGATGGGTCAGTTTTGTCACAGATAAACCTGCAGCACGTCACAAGGTGCCAGGGACAGGGTCTCAGTACACATTTGCTGAAATAATAATATAATAAAAAAATAATCAAAAGAAGGTCATTTCCTTCCCTCTCTGCCCCTACTGTGACAACGCCCCAGAGAAAAGGATTGTCCTTGGTATAAGAATAAAACCTCAGACCTTTGGTTTATAATTTGATGAAAGCATGTTTTAGTCTTATTATAGCTGAAAAGTTGAAGGTATCCCTTCTTAGAGCAAGTCCTCACTAAACAAACTTCCAAATCTATTCTTGTTCCCAGCTCTAGGCCCACCCAGAGGATGGTGGGGTCCGTGCCATGGCCTGGCTAACCGCTGGCATCTTGACACCTGCCCGAAAAACTCGGGGGCCAGTTGCTGGGCCAAAGCAGGAAGGTGACGCCCAGGCCTCCTCACGGGGAGGGCAGGGGACTGTTTTCCTTCAGCCGGGTAGAATGAGGGAGGGAGGCAGAGAAGGAGGGAGTGTGGAGGACCAGGCTCGGGCCAGCACCCTCGGATCTGTGGTGGCTGTGGTTATACTGGTGTCTCCAGGGAAGCATAAAGGGGGCCTGAAAACTGTGGCCGGCCCTGCCTTTTTCTGCAGTCCTGAGGCCCAGGAAGGGGCGGGAGGCCTGCTGGAGGCTGCTCCTCCCCGCTTTTCTTTGAAGCTCAGCTAGGTCTCCATTCAAGCAAGAAGAGGGGGCAAAAGGTTCCAAGTTTGGGGAATCCCTTTCCGCCTCTGCACCTGTCTGTGGGTGCTGGTCACCCCAGCCCCAGGTACAGATGCCGCCCATCCATCTAACAAATATATTTTTTTGAGTGCCTACTGTATGCCAGGCACCATCCTGGATGCTGGAGATAGAACCACAAACCCAAAGTTCATGCATTTGGGGGATTTTCATTTCAGAGGGTAACTGAGCCATATCTTTTATGATATTCTGTAGCTATTTTCCCATCTAGGCTGTGGTCTCCCTGAGAGAAGGAACAGACCCAATTCATCTCTAGATTCGCCAGGGTGACTAGTACAGAGCCTGAATGCTAGCTTTACAGCCACTGAAAAAGGCCACAACGGGATCTGTCCCCCAGTCCAGGAGCCCCTGTCCTTGGTGTGAAGGCCCTGGTGGTAACGATAGAAATGTAGTGGGCAGCCAGCAGCTGTATCTCCAGCCACACACACAATGAGCTGGCTTCACATTCTGAGCTGCTTTCAAAGGGAAATTCATCACTGGTGGTTTTTCCACTCATGGGGGGTGGGGTGCAATAAGGCAGTTTCTGGTATGAGATACAGGAAAATTAACATCACAGACACCGAAAAAGATCAAAGCCACCGATCAGAGATGCGGATCAAACAAGCGCCGCCACGGAGGTACGGTAACAGTGCCTTGGAAGGAATTGCCAAGAGGGGAGGTTACCAAGACACAGGCCAGTGGGAAACATGAGCGACGGACATGCAGAGATTTGCACGACCCACATGGGAAGCAGAGGGCTTGGGGTATAATCGGGGCTCGGTAAAACATAGCTGGTATCATTGCCACAGAGGCTCCTGGCAGCTTGAGAGCCCTGCCCCTTACCCAGTGTGTACGTGGGGCCTGAGACGCTGCGGTCCTCGCTGATGCCGAGGAAAGGAGAAACGACCTGCTTCACCAGCTCCTCCAGCTGCAAATAACCCTCGCTTGGGCCTGTGGGCTCGTGAACACTCTGGAAATAAACACCCAAGAGAGACAAAGGTCAGTCAAAGTCACGATGGCCAGCTGATTCTGACTGCCCTCCTACTATATTCAAGGCAGGCCGCATCCTTGTGGCTGAAAGGAAGGACAGCCAGGACTAAAGCCTCAGGCACTTGTCATGGGTGGCGGTGATCGGCACCGCGCGCACGGAGAGCACCGAGCACCGTGGCGTCAGCGGTTGGATCCCACCCCGATGCAGGGCCTGTGGGAACTGTCCCCACCCCAGCTCCAGGGCTGAGGTCTGAGTGGTTCCAACCATAGCACTCTCACCCTCACTGTCACAATGACTGTTTCACACCTGGCACACAGGCGCTTCATATAAGCACTTCACGTGTATCAGAGCACAGAGGCCTCCCAACAACCCTCATCATCTGCCTTTTACACATGAGGAAAGTAAGACGCAGAAAGCTTGCCCAGGGAGACACAGCTGGAAAGTGGCAAAAACCTGGGAATGGAACACAAGCTGTCTGGCTCCAAGCCCATCTTACCGCCCCTTGTTAATTAGCTAGAAAAGAAAGGGGAATAGAATATGGAGAAGTCCAGAACAGTAGAAGAAAGGGAGTGTCACTGTGGAACTAGATACACATTTAGCACCAAGATGAAGGATCAGTTCAAAAGCCCAGCGCGACAGGAGTCCTCGGAGCTAAAAGGCGCCAGAAAGTCACCAAGGTCTTCTAGAAAACCAGCAGACTCCAAGGGAATTCAGTTTCTCACTGGAAAGGCCTGGAAGCCAGGTGCTCATGTTGAGGGGCTGCAGGGGAGCAGAGACAAGGCTCTGCGGGGGCTATGCTCAGCCCAAAGGGTTGTCCCATCAAATTCGTGTCAACACGGAATAGATTTGATATCACCCTCACTTGAAAAGTGAAAACTCTCCACTGTACTGGAGTTTTGGAGGCTGGGCCATGAAGCGGGAAGGGCCAGTCCTACAGGCTGGAAATCGCTGGGTGAGGTGTAAGAAGCCCCCAAGGAAACTGGCTGACGTGGTCCCTCATCAGCTCCGTCACCGTGCAAAGGAGGTGGCTGGGGGCAGTGGGAGGGAGGGGGAAGCTAAGGAAACACAGAGGAGGCTGAGGAGGGGCTATGATGCAGAAGACTTGGGAGTTAGGGCTGGGAAGGGCTTGGAAAAGAAATGAAGAGAAAATGCAAGTGGGGCTGCCTGGGGCTGGAAGCGGGTGATGATGGGGAGATGACTTGGTGGTTTTTCACGCCCCCAGGTTCCAATACTGCTTAGCAGGAGCTGAAGCATTGGGAAAGGCCAGCAGTGGAAATAAGATGCTTCACACACAAATCTGCCCAAATGGAAGGGGATCCTCCAGGCAATAGAAGGGAGAGGGGAGCCTTATTCATGCTCCCAGAGACCCACCCCCGGCCTCAAAAGTGGACCAGTTTCAGCCCCAAAACCACCTTGGCTGGCTTTCAGAGCTGAGGAAACTTTTTTTTTCTCATTTTTTTAATGCCTTGATATTTCTCATCTGCCTTCTCTCCCTAAGCCTCTCCCCCTCTACAATTCCTAAGCACTAAACACAGAGGGATGACAGAATAAGGAAAAGAGGAGGGAGGTGGGAAGAAAATGCTTAACTACCAAATGCATTGATTCGGAGCTGGATGGTTTTCTCCCTGGGCTGAGAACTTGACTTGCACACAGCCCTCTAGGAGGGAGCTGCCCTCAGCCCTTGGCCTGGCCGCTGGACGGGCTACGTATCTGCAAGGCCCAGTGCAAGAGGGAAACATGGGGCTCCTGGTTCAAAAATTGTTAAGAGTTTCCCGATGGTGACAGGAGACAATTAAACCAAGCACGGGGCCCTGCTGAGACTGGGGGCCCTGGGGGCCGGCCCGGCAGGGAGCACACCTGCTTGGCTTGGCAGGTCCCCTAGGAAGGGACCATTCTAGGATGGTCTCAGACCTGTCTGCCACTGCCAGGGGCAACCAGATCTCCACAGTGGTCAAAATCTCTGGCTCATCTCATGAGCTCCTAAGGACAGGAGCTCATGGCCCACAGTAGGAAAGTTTGAACTCCTTGTATATTTTGGGGAGGGAGGGGTTTGTTCAGGGACATTTTGGAAAAGCACTGGAAAAGGGAGAGATGGCCTGAGAAACGGCTCTTTTCTCCATATGAGTTAGGCAGGGAAAAACCAGCCCCAAATCTCATGGCGCTGTGGGAAGTAGGGGCCCAGGGAGAGAGCAGAGCAGTTCTAACTACTGGGGCCTAAATTTCCTGCAGCGGGAATGGTCCCAGCATAGTACAACCTGCACGTTCCATTCAGATCCAGAAGCTGCCGCCTCTGCCACCCAAGGAGCTGGACCTGGACTGGGGAAAAACCTGCCTTTGTCACTGTCACACTCCCGCCTCCGGCTTCCTGGCTCCCAGAGAGTAGAACATAGACCAGGGAACCAGTCCCAGGAGGCCCTCGGGGAAATGATGCCAAATGTCCTGTGTTAAAGAGACCATCTCAGAAGCTCATGGGGCATCTCCAAGTACCCTGGGAGACTGTGGGAGGGGAGGCAGTGGTAGCCGGGAGAGGCTAGGTGGGAAGGTAGAACCAGAAGAAAACAGCAGCTGGTGGGGAGGGAGAGATCAGGGGTTCCACACCTGACGTTCCACCCCTACCGAGACGGCAGCCAGGGATCCTCAACAGCCTGACCAAGAATGAAACTGTCTTCCCTGAGGACGGGCTCAGAGCTGAGGATGCAGCATCTGAACTTGGTAGAGAGGTCAGAGAGGCATAGCAGCCACCTTTTTGGGGATGTCCTTAGGCCACAAGCCTTGTTTCTTGGAATTGTGCACCCCTATCCACAGAACCGGGCTCATGGAGGCCATGTTTATTCTATGTGATCCTATTCAAGGTCATAGCCGATTGCGCAAAGGGGAGTCACGTAGCCCGAGCTGGGCCAATCAGTCTTTCCCCTGAGTGTACACAGTTCTAAATCTTACTACCTCGTGCTGCGGGACCTCAGGCAAACACATAAAACTTCCTGGGTTTCAGTCTCCTCATCTGTAACGTGGCACTGACAACAGTGTCCAGCTCATAAGGTTTGGATTATTTGATTCAGAAAGCAACACACTTTAAGTCCTTGGCCCATGCCTGCCTGGTAGCCGGGAACCAACCAGGGTTAGCTCATCTTCCTATCGTTGATTTAGAATTGGGATTAAGAGATGCTAGGCAGCCACCTGGGTCATCTCTTGGTGGAAACATGCAAGCCGTGGGATGCCACATTTGTCGGTGCAAACCGAAGCACTGAATACAACTCTGCAGAGAGAGAGAGAGAGAGAGAGAGAGAGAGAGACCAAGTCCAAGAAGGCCAGGAGAGGCAGCGTCAGAGAGAAGCCAGGTGGACCAGATACGAGTAGAGACCAGTAAGTGGAGAGAGGCTGGCAGCTTTGTGGCCTGACGTGGTCTCACTTGTGGCTGTAGCCCCTGAGGACCTTTCCTGCGGGTTCCTTGTCTGGCTTAAGCTGGGATGAAGTGGGTTCTGGTCGTAACTTAGAGCGTGAGGCTCCCTGACACGACAGGATGGGGGAGAAGGGTGTCCACTCCCTGAAGGACGGGGCAGTGCTCCTCTGGCTTCCCCTGGGATCCCAGCACCCAGTACAGCGCCAGGGACCTTGACGGTGCACGGTGGACACACAGCAAATGGACAAATGAACTGGAACGTGACCGATGACACTAAAGGACACTAAACTGAGCCAGGGTGCTCTGGCCACAGGGCCCTTTCCCCCCCAAGCTGCGGTGGTGTCTCCGCCCGGCCTCACCTGCAGGATGAGCAACATCTGGACGATGGACGAGGGCAGCTGGGGCGGGGCCAGCAGCAGCAAGTCATCCAGCTTCACCTTCAGCAGAACCAGGTCGCGGAAGCCCAGCAGGGAGATCTGGCGGATGGTCAGCTCCTGGCCCTGGCAGGACAGGAGAAGCAGCAATGTCGGGAGGTGAGAGCTGGCGGGATCTGCCACCAACCACATGGGGGCCAGCAAAACAAATGGATGGTCGGGGGGAACGAGATGTCTGCAAGGCCCAGGGGGGCTGTCAAACAGTCAAAGACTTGGCCCCTGTCCTTCAGAACAAAAGCTTCGTTTACGATAAGGTGTGACTCGCTGATTCGAAAAGATCCATGCACCCCAATGTTCATAGCAGCATTATTCACAATAGCCAAGATGTGAACACAACCTAAATGTCATAGACAGATCGCTGGATAAAGAAGGTGTGGTGTGTGTATATAAATACACACACACACACACACACACACACACACACACACACACAAAGGAATACTACTCAGCCATAAAAAGGAATGACACTTTGCCATTTGTAACAACATGGATGAAACTGGAGGGTATTATGCTTAGTGAAATAAGTCAGACAGAGAAAGACAAATGTTGTACCTTATCACTTATATGTGGAATCTAAAAAATAAAACAAACTAATGAATATAACAAAACAGAAACAGACTCATAGATACAGAGAACAAAGCAGTGGTGACCAGTGGGGAGAGGGAGGAGGGGGAAGGGGTAACACAGGGGTAGGGGATCAAGAGGTACAAACTACTGGGTATAAAATAAATAAGATACAAGGGTATATTGTACAGCACAGGGAATATAGCCAATATTTTATAATAACGTTAAATGGAGTATAATCTATAAAAACATGGAATCACTATGCTGTACAACACTGGAAACTAATATTGTAAATCAATTATACTTCAGATAAGGTGTGACTCAACCTGCCTAGATGACCCAAAGGTGATACAAGACACGTACAGCGGGGGCCGTGGGGTGCTAGTGGTCAGAAAGGAGGAAGATGAGGAGAAACGAGACGGAAGGTCAACAGCGCCTCCCTACAGGCAAGGCTGCTTCCTCAGCTTCACCCATTCAATACCTGCTCACCTATCATGTGCCAGGCAAAGAAGGAAACACAGGACCTGTTAGGCTCCTCTGCAAATGCAAGAAACACAGGAAGAAGAAACGCTGGGAAAGTAGAAGAAAGGGACTTGTTCAACCACGTAGGCTGGGGGCAGAGGATGAAAACAGTGACTAATCATCATAAGAGCTGTGACCCTTACTAAGCTCTGACCATGTGCTAGGCCTGATTCTCAATATCCTAGATGCAAATGGCACATTTAATCCTCACGACCACCTCTGAGATAGATACTACTCTAAAACCCGCTCCACAGATGAAAAACCCTACACCCAGAGTGACAGGAATTTACCCAAGATAGAGCTGGATCTCAAACCTAAACTATTTGATTTTAGAGCTCCTAAAGTTTCCCAAAACAGAAAAGGAAAGGAGGGCCCGTTTCCTGGACTCTCCTTTGCACACATACATACAGCGCACAACAAAAGTCACCTTGGTAGAGGTGAGGTATCACTGGGCTATCCTCCCAAAGACGACATAGCTTCCCATCCCTCAAGTTGACCAAGGTTTAAGGAAGTTTTGCACTTCCTGCAACTCCTTAGGGTTTTACAGAAACATGGGCAAGAGGGATTTTTGCCATCCCCGCATCCCCCTACCCTCCAGTCCCAAGAGATACGCGCCACCCATGCTTCACAGGCTCAGTTTAACCACTCCTTGAATGCCTTCCCCAACCACCTCCAATGACAGTGGTCCCCCCACTTTCCTCAAGGTCCTACAGTTTCTATTCTTTGCACCACATCCCAGCACTCGGCACTGACTTTCTATCTCGTAGGTATCTGTGCCCTCGCTTCATCGCCAGGACTCCTTTCACTTTACAAGACAGAAAAAGGCAGGCAAAGTTCCACACCCTTGAACACAGTGGGCACGCAAAAACATTGTCCAGTGAGGAAGCAGGTCTCACACAGACACTTACACAGCGAGAAGGACCTAGCTGGACAAACAGACACCTCCGGGGGTGTTACTACCAGTAGTAAGAGTCCCTAACTCAGGGGTTCTCAGAGTAGGGTGTCTGGACCAGCAGTAGCACTTGGGAAATTGTGTGGGGGAGGGGCAGACAGGGGCAAGAGTAACCCTTGCCAGATCTTAGAATTTTTCAAGAGAAGCAGGACAGTATCATCCTCAGACTCATGCAACTGGGCTCCTGCCTGGATATGAGGCTAAGAGGGCCCCTCTTGGGCCTCCAATGACTGTACGGGGCCATGCCCACTCAGATCCCTCCCCGCCCCCATTCTAAATCCATCCGGGTATCCTCACCTTGGAGTTCCCTGCCCAAATGGTCCTAAGGGGGACCTAGGTCTACACCCCCTATCCAGTAGGACTGCCAAATAAAGCAGAGGCTGTCCAGTTAAATTTGAATCGTTTTTTAGCATAAGTATATCCCAAATACTGCATTATTCATTGTTTATCTGAAATTTAACTCAGCATCCTGTATTTTGATTTGCGAAATCTGGCAACCCTACCTCCCTGGTGTGTCTTCTTAAGACCCACTGTTGGCCGAGGAGTGAGTATTGCAGAGAAGGGAGAAGTCTGTGGACACAGGGAGTGAACCATCCACATAAATACTTAAAATCCTCTCGCAGGGGTGCAGGGTGGAGCTGAGGATGAGATGAAAAGAGCAGTGCGCTGCAGGCCAGACACTTCTCCTGGGATTGTTAGGGGCAAACCTGAATTGGGAAATGGACTCTGAAGGCATAGCCTCGCAGTTTTTAAATATTTGACATGTATTTAAAAGAATTCCAACTTCCTTTAAAGTACCACTCAGAGCAAACAAAGCACGTGGGCCCTTACCTCTGGTCCAAGGTAATTCCTACCTTTGCCAATGGCTGCATCATTGCAGCGCCCACGCCTGCACCTCAACAATAGATATGACGTCTTAACTGGAGTGGGGGGTGCGCTCATGAGCACATAGCAGCATAAGCGTATGACAGAGACATATATTTTGGGGAAGAATATTTATTGGTCAGTCTGCCTGAGGGCCTGTCCATTCTGACCTGGCACTGACCAGTCCTGCTATTAGCCTCTTCAGGAAAGTAGAGGGAAACCAACGCATGTGGTAGAATGAGCTGAGCTCACAGAATAAGAAGCATAAGAGATACTACTCGGTTTTATTCTAAATTCCTCATTCTGCAGGAGATGAAACAGAGCTGTGCCTAGAAACAGGAAATGAGTTTGCCCAAACCCAGCTACTGATTCCAGGTCCCCAGTTCTTTCTGCGACATCATGGGCCTTCTCGTCTTCAGGAATCCCTTACAAAGGGCAAGGAACATTGTCCCTTTCCCACAATTTGGGAGCCACAGAAAACGTGCCGGAAAACTGTGCTTCAAAGAAGAGGGTGGAGAAAAGAAAGAAAAGTCTCCTTCCCCCACCTTCCCTACTTCTGAAAAGTAAGAAGAAACAAACCACTCCAAGAATATACAGACATACTCAAAACCAAGAGGGAAGAGAGCGCCTACAAATTGCTAGGTATGCAGGCACTGTTCGTTGCTTGAGGTTAGATGCTGAATATAGAACAGAGTGGCCTTCCTCGGAGTGGTCCGAGGTCCTGAGCCAGCTCAGGCAGCGCCCAATCCCCTGGTTTTCCCCCATTCGCTGGCAGGCCCCAGGGGGCAAAGGCCAAGGAATAAGACAGGCTGCCCAGACCGGCAGAAGGATGTTCCCCAGTAAGACTGACCTGAACTGGATAGAATATTGCCTGCAGGGTGGGGAGAGTCTCAGTGAAGAAATGGTCCCAGACTTCAGCCAGAACCTCAATGCGATTTTCACCTACAGGAGGGCGAGAAGATGGGAGGGGAGAAAGAAAGAAAAGAACTTGGTCATGACTTGCAGGAGAGGCCAGGAGACAGTTCCACGTCAAATGGAGCATGGGATGGTCGTGAGAGGAAGCTCATTACCTACTTTTGATCCAGAAGTGTTACTACAGTAAACGTGGGATTGGATGGGAAAACTCGACCGAAAATATGCAAATATGCCTTCTCTCCCTTAATCCAGAAAAGGGAGCTGAATTTTGAAAAGCACACCATAACTGCTATTGTCACAAGAATGGTTACAACAGTATCAGGCCCTGTGCTAGATTATTTATCTATAAGCTATCTCATGAGTAGACGCTATTACCCCATTTTACAGCTCAGACAGGCCAGGTATCTGGGCTCAAAGTCACACAGGTAGAAGGCCAAGCTGGGATTCCAGAACCCGTGCTCTTGCCCATATAATCCAGAAAGATCATGTGCACAGTTATAAATTATTTTGCTTTTCATAATCACTAAGACACTGGCTTTTCAGTCTAGATTTGAGCTGTCACTTGAGAGATGGAAAGAGGGCTTAGAAACTATCACCTCCACCCACTGTAACCGGCAGGGCATTATTCTCTGAACAGTCACCTGCAAAACACGGGACGCACCTCCTGACGCTGTGCCTACCCTCATCCCCCGGATCAGGAAGCCCGAGCCCTGGCCAAGCGCCACCCCCAGGCTAGATGGACATAGGTCACCCAACGCCACCGGAAGGCTGCTCGAGGGACTTTGCACCTGCAGGAAAGGCAGGCACTGGCAGAGCAGAGCCTGCACGGTGGCTGCTGTTTAATGACCTAGATAACAGAGCTGACTGGGCACTATCTCTGCTCAGCTGAGGCAGGGAAACTGGGTCAGCCAAGATTAGACCCTGAGAGATGCGTCTGGCAATGCATGGCCAGTTCCACTGAACTGATCTTGAAAGAGTCATTTAGTGTTGTCCATCTATTAATTTAATGGAAACAAAAGCAGTGGCTGGCAGAGAAAACAGAACGAGGGTGTGACTAGTAGCTAGCAGGGCCAAAGCTGTGCAGATTTTGAAAGGTCAGAGTGAAATACACTGGAGAGAAATGCAAACCCACAGCACCCTCTACTTTCCCTCACCGTGTGCTAATTACACGTTGTTGGAATCGCTCATTTACTTCTTTCTCTGTCTCCTCCACTAGAATGGGAGCGAGGGCCCCGGCCCTGTCTGTCCTGCTCACCATTCTATTTCTAGCACTTAGCCAGACACGTCAGTAAATCAATGTTTGGAAATCTTTAAATGAATGAATGGCAAGTACTGAGTGCGTAGGCTTTTGCAGATACTAGGGCTGGTGAGTGGAAAGAGGTTACCTTTTAACCCAAATATGGGACAGGACAGAGCAGGACTTAATAGCTAGCTCCAACACTTTCCTTTGCTCTTAGATAAAGAAACCACAGCATAGGCAACCTGGCTGGGGAGAGTCTGCTTCCTTCTTCTGTGTCTTCATCCTCTTCTGTATTCCCCTTGTATGCGACTTTTACTTCAGCCCCTCATGCTCACCATGCCCCCTCCATGCCACAGGGCCTTTGCATGTGCTAGCTCCTTTGGCTCTCTTTGCCTAACGTACATCTGTTTATCTTAATATTTTCAACTCCAGCATTACTTCCACAAGAAAGTCTCCCCCACTGGCTAAATCCCCCTATTATGGATTGTATTCTTAGTACTTGTCCCAGTTGGGGTTTTATATCTGATGGTGATTTGATTAATACCTGTCTCCACTACCAGATAGTGAGGGCCTCGAGGACCTGTAATCCTATGAAGTTTTGTTCACCACTGTGTCCCCAGCACCTAGCAAAGTACCTAGTAAACAGTAGATAATCAGGGACTTCCCTGGTGGTGCAGTGGTTAAGAATCCGCCTACCAATGCAGGGTATATGGGTCCGAGCCCTGGTCTGGGAAGATCTCACATGCCATGGAGCAACTAAGCCCGTGTGCCACAACTACTGAGCCTGCACTCTCGAGCCAGCGAGCCACAACTACTGAGCCCGTGTGCCACAACTACTGAAGCCTATGCGCCTAGAGCCCATGCTCTGCAACAAGAGAAGCCACTGCAATGAGAAGCCCACGCACCGCAACAGCGTAGCCCCCACTCGCTGCAACTAGAGAAAGCCCGCACACAGCAACGAAGACCCAATGCAGCCAAAAAAAAAAAAAAAAAAAGTAGATAATCAATAAATGTTTGAATGAATGCATCAATCACCATTCTCTTTTCAAAGGTAGGCTAGTTCACTGCAGGGAAGAGGTCAGGAAGTCAAGAGGATGGTCTGAAATGTTAGGGCATCCTGGTGCCTAAAACCAAGGTGAATCCCAACACCTGGAGAGTGTATCTCAAAGGAGAAAAGGCTATGCCAGCTCCTTTACTGATGGCCCTTAACCTAAGTCTTCCATCACAAAGACAAGCAGAGGCCCTCCCGACTGGAAGTAAGTGACAGAGAAGCCTGCTGTTCAGTGCTGGTGCCTACTTACTCCCCTTCACCTCCAAGATGGAATACTCATCAGCAATGAAGTCATCCTTCAACCTGGCAGCAGGAAGGCGCCTCTCCTGGGAACCTGGGTCTAACTGCCTGCTGCAAATTTCAGAGAGGAGTGGAGGTTTTGGAAAGTGTTCAGAGAAGAACATCAGAGAGACACAGGCTAACAAAACAGAGTAGCCCCGGGAAGAAAGAGTTAAAGGAAGGAGGTGACTCCATCTCCAAGAACAGTCCACAAGTCAAGGCCTTAGTCCCCTGCAAAGATGAAAGGGGTTTGGATGGGAGGTTCTAGATGACTGTCCTATAAAAACTGTCCTCTAGTTGCCATAGAAGTTTAGATCACCAGAGGTATATAGAAGAGGTATGAGAAACTTCTTTAAAGCCAAGGTCACTAAAGCTCTAGAAAAGATTACGGAAAGTAACAAGGCATATTCTGTCCACGAAAGAGTACCACATAATGAGGGGCTACCTCTGTGCCTTCTGCAGCTGTCAGGTAGAGTGGGTGTGTACAAGCCAGGTCAATAAAGTAAAGGTTGTTCAGTGATAGGATGGATCAAAACTCTATCTTATAGCAAAAGAATCCTTTTATCCAAATAAAATCTTTCTTGGAGTTATAACACACAAAATGAAAAAGTAGAGATGTTCTGGTTAAAGATGTGAAAGACCCTTACAGGTTCCCACCTGCCCCTTCACTGTGCAGAAAGAACCTTGCCACCCAGACCCCAGGACAAGAAGGGACCCAGCAAGAATATCCCGGCCCACTGCTCTCTAGTCGTGCTTTGGGGCAGAAACACAGAACCTTGGATGCCCTTTGTTTATCCCGTCTAGCTCTGTGCCTGAGTTTACACTCTGAACGTAGCTATGTTAAGTGTCACTTGGATGACAGACAGTCAACTTTCCCTTTTAAGGGTCCTTGACGCTGTGGTTTTGCTCAGCATCTCTTGCATAATGCTGGCCTTCCGCATTTCCAGGAGCACGGAATAACTCCAAACGACTTACTACCGGGCAGGCAGCCGCCTTTCACACTGGTGTACTAGCCTAACTCCAACACGCAAAAGGGCCACGAAGCTCTTGTCAAAGCCAGTCACTCAAAAATAAGGCCTCGGGTTACTGGGTATCTCTAAGGTTGAAAAAATCTCAACGTAGTTGCATTTGAGGGAAACAAGGCTGCAGGTTCACTCAATTCTTGAACAGACAGAGGTTAATTTCAGACCTCTCATTTCCCAAAGGTTTGGTGAGCACTCACTGTGTGCTGGGCACTGGGACCTTCCAGTGTCAATTTCTCGTTTTTCTTCCTACTTTGTCTTTCTAGGAGACACTTCACTGGACACAAGTGTCTCTCCCAGGGAAGGGGAAGAAAACAGGAATGACCTACTGCCTGATAAGTCTGAATCTAGAAGTAAACTTGACCTACAGATGGAGGTCTCTAGGCTGGAATAGGAAAAAAAAAAAAAAGAAGGAACCACTTTGCTTACCTACTATGTGCCAGGTATGGAGCTACGCCAGTTATACTTCTTATACTCCCTACGATCCCTAGTCCCATTTTATCATTTAAAAAATTATTTTAACAAACCAAGGCTCGGGGCTTCCCTGGTGGCGCAGTGGTTGAGAGTCCGCCTGCCGATGCAGGGGACATGGGGTTCGTGCCCCGGTCAGGGAAGATCCCACATGCCGCGGAGCGGCTGGGCCCGTGAGCCATGGCCCCTGGGCCTGCGCGTCCGGAGCCTGTGCTCCGCGGCGGGAGAGGCCACAACAGTGAGAGGCCCGCATACCGCAAAAAGAACAACAACTATACTTTCTGTAACTTTTTTCATTGGTAGCACTGCTAGTCTTTCTCTTCTAGCAAGTGATTGGTTGACTGTAGTGATAGAAACTTGCCAAAAGTCACCCAAGAAGTAGGTGGTAAGCTGCATCAGGATCCACATTGGCGGGAGCTGAGATTAGCCGTTGGTGGAGCCGTGGGGTCGGCCGACTCTTGCCTTTGGCCACCTCCCAGATCCATTCAGTGCCTTTCTATCCTGTCAGCTTGACTCTAACATCTTTTAAGGCTGGGAAATTTTTCTTTATTATTTTTTTATTTTTTCGGTACGCGGGCCTCTCACTGCTGTGGCCTCTCTCGCGTTGCGGAGCACAGGCTCCGGACGCGCAGGCTCAGCGGCCATGGCTCACGGGCCCAGCCGCTCCGCGGCATGTGGGATCCTCCCGGCCCGGGGCACGAACCCGTGTCCCCCGCATCGGCAGGCGGACTCCCAACCAGTGCACCACCAGGGGAGCCCTTTTCTTTGTTTAGTAAATCACCCCCCATTGAGTAGGTGCCTGCTTAGCCTCCTGTCCCTCAAGTGGGTTGGCCTCCTGACATGCACCACCTCAAGAAACAGTATTATACAAAGGCCAATAGGAAATAGCCTGGATCAAACCAGAGGGAACAGCATGGCAGGCTCTGCAGTATAAGTTGTCCCTTCAAAGGAGACCACCAGCATGCATCCCACGGAAACCCCCCTTGACGGGGGTCTCCGAAGAGGCCACCCTAATTCCCCCTCAGTTCCCAAAACACAGTCTGACTTGCGTTGCTGGGAGTGGCGAACTCGGGCGGAAATGCTGCCCCCTATAGCTGCAGAAGGGGCGGCCGGGCTGAGGCACGCGCCTCTCCTGGACAGAAGCATTCCAGCCGTCCGAGCATCAAAGGCTGAGTCGGGGGCCCGCCGGACGGGGGCTGCCTTGCACTTGCCTTCACGCAGCTTAACGTTCTCCTCCAGAAGCAGCAGTCCTTTGGCTACAAGCTGGTTCTGCCGAAAGAGAACAAAGGGCACAAGAGTTGGGCTATTTCACCGCGTGACAAACCCAGATCCACTCCCAGTGGGCGAGGGCGCAGGGTTGCAGGCACTCGGGCGCTGCTCAAGCCTCCAGGCTGAAAAAGCCTTCTCTCCTCTAGGAAGGCCGAGGCTTCTGGAGGCATCAGTGAGACAGCCCGAAGCAATGGAAGGAGATGAGAGCCGAACCCAAGTGCCATCTCCGTCCCTCTGACCAGGGAATGGGCTGCCCCAAGCTTGGCTGAATTCTCTGGAAGGACAAGGGTAGACACCCAATGTCCTTCAGGCCCTTCGTGTAAAACTCAGAAAGGGGAGCATGGAGGCAATGGGAAATTATGCAGAAATAATGGATTTCTTGTATAAAAATGATTTTTTATAAAAACGATAAATCTCTCACACTAGCATGAAAGAGACTGCCCGCAAGATTTTAAGCAGCAGTGAGCGTGTGTCCGTCAATGAGCGTGTGCGTGGGAAAGTTGTGGAAAGAGGGAATGAGAGGAAGTCCCTTTGCAATTACAACTAACAATTGCTGAGTGTTTTGCATGTACCAGAGCGTTTATATTCTTCAGCTCATCTAATTCTGACCCTCCCAATAGTCCGGTCAAGTTGGTGCCATTACCCTGACTTCACTGATGGTTGGGGAAGAGGCTGGAACACAGGACACAGAGCTGGTCTTCCTAGCTCCACAAGCCATGTTCTGCCCACTCCGCTTTGCTGCCTTCCAGCAAGTCTTCCCACCCAGACCCCTCCTTCCCTCAGAAGGCTACAGCTGGTCCCACACGACGCGGGCAGCCTCTCCAAAGGTCACAGAAGCTCAGAGAGTAAGGATGCCTCCCCACTCACCACACATCTTTAGATTAGCAAAGGCCTATGCTTATAGGGTAGGGGATACACAGTGGTATATATCCTACCCCAAACCTAATGCATTTCTTAGTACTCTCTTTTAGAAAACCCTAAACCCCGTTACAGTGATGACGAGAGCATACATGGCAGAGAAGAAAGAACCTGGACATCAGACAGGGGTTCAAGTCCCAGCTCAGCAACTTTCTAGCTGTGTGACCTTGGACTTCATTTCCCTGAGTCTTGAGTCCCTCATTTACAACATGGCGTCACAACAGCAATATCATACAGTTCTTATAATAATTAACCATTATAAATACACACACACACACACACACACACACACACACACACACACACACACAGAGTGTCTTATGTTCCCAGTAATCAGTGGAACTGGATAGTGATGACGAGAGTTGCTCTTTTAGCCCAACTATCTTCACAAAAGGAGTGGGAGGTAAAGAGAGTCAGTAATGAATGGACCTACTCAAAGGTACTATCACATTCCTGTGACTAATACATATACACCAGATTTTATAGATCCTATTAAAATTCACAAGCTATAACCTAATTTAAAAAGTAATTGGCCACCATTTAGTTTCAAGATGGAACCCCAACTCAAAGTTAGAGTGACATCCTATAGGAGTCTACCAACTCTGTTAAAGGAAAAAAAAAAATCAATTCCTTTACTAGGAATCATGGAACAGACAGGTACTTAAGGTGAAACTCTGTGTTCTCTACCTTCTAGCCAGGCACACGAATCCCAGCAGCAAGAAAACACCACAGCACCAAACTGAAACGATCCAAATCAAGACTTTGTGCCAGCTGAGCTGGGCAGGAATGGATGGTGGAGGCGTTTCCAGATGGCAGTCACTCCCCCTGAATGGTTCTGAGCAAAAATCCCAATTGAGGTCTGAAGTGTCTGCCCGGGTCCCTTTCACTGGCCCAGATGAGGGCCTCAGGGAGTCCCCTTGGCACTCCGTGCAAGGACTCCTGATGCATTGTTCTCTGTCACCACCTCTACTGCCAACACTGACACCTCAGCCTTCTTCCAAAACATCTACAAACCCTCCTTAATTTCATGTTTCTGAGATGCACCTACAAATGTAAGAGATACTCCTCCGTACGATGCAGGCTTCATAATTTTGTTCCATCACTGTAATTATCTACATTTTAAAGATATGGGGGGCTCACCAAGGCACTGAGAGAAATAAAAGTCTAGTCCAGGTTATATCATGAGTTAATAACGGAAATTAATTCAAACCCTATATCCTATGTGTTAGGATTTTAGGTCCTTAGGAGTGAGGACCACTTAATTTAGTCCTCCTGGCTCTGAGAACAGTGCCTAGAACATAGCAGAAGCTAATAAATATTGAGTATGTATTGCCTGTTTTGATGCTACAGACCATTCTTTGGTTTTAAGAAATCAAGATAAGAGACAGAATATTTGCAAGAGGAGAGACAGTGATATAGGGCCTTAAAATTCTGACACCCCTATGCATTTGTACATCTTGCTCTTATTTTACAAATGGCATTTATTTTCATTTGATAAAAACTACTTTGCATCTGACGACATAAACTTTAAAAAGTGGCCTGGGTTCTCCTTCCTCCTCTTTTCTATGTCTTCCCCCTTCGAGGAGACATTTGGGGCAAAAAAAAATTGTTTTTCAAGGATAAGAAGTTATTTGTGTACTATGGAGAAATGGAAAACATTCATTTTAAAATTTCTCATGATACACGGCATAGAAATTCTGTAGCTTAGACCAAAATAACAGTAACAAAAGCTTAAAAGGGGCCTTAAGAACCATCTAGTCACTCTCCCCTCTCCCCAGCCCTGTGGTCCAAATCAATTGGTCACATACAGTTTCCATAATTTTTAGGTGGACATATTTTCCAGGAAGTTAAAGCACCTTTCAAAAGCATCTTGAAAATGTTTATACCCCTACGCTTTGTAGATTTTGCTTTTATTTTACAGTTGAATAAACTGCAGCTAGAAGTACGGTCTCCATCTTTTATTTGGCGTGTGCTAAGTGAGTTGGGATCTTCTGGGCCAGCCTGGCTCACAGCCCCGCTTCCCTATCTTGCATGCTCGAACCATTTGAATCTAGCCTGCATCTTCAGCTTAGCTGACTGGCTTGGTGCCTGCCCTCCACCCCACCTGGGTCTCAAACTGAGCCAATCATTTTCTCCCCTGGGAATCTGTGGTCACACAGGCCCCCTATGCCCCAAAGGGCCCTGTAATCCTGAGGGCCCGGTGCTCTGAAGGGCCTCATGCTTGGGGTTTAATGCTCTGCAGGTGCCATCTTCACCTCTTAATAGTTTTAGTTTTGAATCTGTGTTTTGTAAGTGAAGCCTGCTGGGGAAACGGAACACACCGCAGGGGCTCAGCCTCAGCTCACTCATGGTCCTGCCTTCTACAGTCACCCCAGGAGGGGTTTTCAGGCCCCTGCTCCACCACCCCCCCTTGCTGCTCTCCACCCTGCTGGTCTCCCCTGCCCTGCCCCACCACTGCCATCCTTCTATTCCAAAGGTGGTGACAGGGTTGTGTCAGCAGGGGCCCAGGCCCTGGTGCTCTGTGGCATCTTGGGGAGAGGCCTGGTGGCAGCCCCGCTCCCTGCCCTGGGCTGGCAGAGCTCTGGCTTGAGTGCTGATGACTCAGCTGGGGGCCTCTCGACCACCCCTGAGCTATGTACCGAGAGCATGGAGGTTACAATCTCTTGGGGGCCCCCTGTCCATGACGGGTTGTGGCCACAGGTCCATGGGAAGGGGAGTACCTTCCTCACCCTGGTGGGAGCCACATTTGCATTCTGCACTGGGCCCCGCAAATTACGAAGCCCACCCTGTCTGCTGGTCGCTTCACCTAAGGACACACCAACTGGACATCTGTGGGGCTTAAGGCTGCTGAGACCTAAAAAAAAGAAAGAAAAAAGAAAAGAAAACCAGCCTCGATTTAGACAGCTATCTTGCATTGTTTGTCTTTCGAAGGTCTGTTCCCTCTGGCCTCACCTGCCAGTATTCCCAGCCCCAGACAAACGCCTGACTCCAGAAGGTGCTGAGAAAATGTATGGGAACAGAGCTGGAGAAGATCCCGACTTTTCTCTTGTCCCACTCCCTGCCTGATGGCACCAACCGCATCACCTCCCCAGCCCAAAGACTTCAAGCCAAAACACATTACAAGTTAACATTACTAGTTAACGTAACTAGCTAACATTACTAGTTACACTCAATAGCAGCCACCTAGGAAATGGGCCCATTGTCACTTAATGCAGCCCCCATAAATGAACTTGGACGGGGAATACACAGCACTCTAAGGAAGTGGCAGAGCATCCGGAAGTAAAAAACAGCTAACCTACCTGTTTTTATTAAGACATTGAAAATGGGCTGCCAACAGAAGAACAAGACTCAAAGGAAAAATGCAAAAAACAAGGATGTCCGTGGAAAGGCATCCAAATCCATGCAGCCTTCAGTGGGTTGGAAGGACTGAGCTCACCCTGGGTGATCACGGAGGGTGGGCTGCTGTAGTGCAGGGCTTGTCAATGTCAACCACATGCATCTCCAGTCAAGCAGGCTCCTCCTCGACCCGGCCAGAAGGACTCAGGAAAATGGGGAACCAACAAGCTAGGGGGTAAGGAGAATGATGCTATTCCCACACAAGGTAGGAATTCTGTAAATGCTTAAGGCTGCCAGCCACCTGTCGCTTCTAACGCTTTAGCAGTGATGATAATAATGAGAACACAAAGAATGACGGTGGAGTTTTTTTTATTGGTTTTTTACTCTTTGTCAGGCACTGTATTATATCCTTCTCATGCATTATCTCACTCTACCTTTGCCACAAACTTATCCCCTTTATATAGATGAAGAAACTGAGGCTCAGAGAAGCAACTAGCAAATGTGAGACCAGAATTTGCACCCAGGTTGGCTGGAATCCAAAGCCCAAATCTTTCCCCCAGGATATTACTCTGGTTTACTTCAACAATGATTAAAAAAATACTAAGGTGAACAGCTATCATTCATTCACTCCTCACTTTTTGTACAAAGCACTTGATATACGTCATCTCATCTAGTCACTGCATCAACCTTTTGAAGTAGGTACTATGATTACAACTAGATTACCACTAAGAAGAGTGAGGTTCAGA